TTTCATATTTTTAATTTTATAATTTCTGCATGCCATCTTACCAGATTTAAACTGATGATCTATAATCCGGAAAAATCGATAATCCGGAATCGCCGAAGTCCCGACGAGTCCGGATTAAAGACTTTTGACTGTATATAATTCTGATATATGCTGATTATCTTTCACAAAAATTACACCCAAATTATTGAAAGGAAAGTCGCAAATAGATTAGGTACATCTGAAAATTAATTTTGTTAATAAATACAGACCAACCAAATTTTAATAATAAAAATATTTTTTTTTATTTCTGTGATGTACAAAAATGGGTCATTACCATCATCACAAATGATAATAAATATGGAATGTAAATTCACTTTAAAAAATAAAATAAATTTAATTTTACACTTTTATCTAACCTACCATTTATAAAATTACATCACACCACAACAGTTAAATTTACAATTTAAGCAAAATTATAATCAACTTACACAATTTCACAGTCATTTTGCCAAATTCATAAAGCTTTAAGGTTCATCCTAAGTTTATAACAGTTAATTTTGATTAAAGCTATTTTCCTGCTCTTCCTAATTTCAGCCTACAATTTCGTACCAGAATGTGTCTTTAGAATGGTGGCTAATGCAATGAGCAAGAGTTGTATTTAGGTCAAAGTTCCACTGACTTCAAGAGAAAGCCTCAGAATTTCTGACTAGCACACATTCGGCTTTTGGCTACCTCTTTCTCTAAGCTGTTACTACGCTCGGCTGTATTACATGCCTTCGATAGCTTATTCAATATTTAGAGGCCAACTACTTAGAATTTTGATAGCTTTGTCTATATCTCTCTTTAGTTAAGCATTAATTAAGTCTTAATTCTTATTGTTTTGAGTTCAAGCCCAAGTGAAGGCTTTGCCGTACGCACTGAGAAAGGGGCCATCTGTTAAATCTTATTTTGAGAAATAAAAGGTAATTAATCCTTCTTGAGTTTAAGTCTCTGTTTCTGAACTAAAGCTTGAAATTGCTGCATTGTAAATGGATTCACTTAGCTGTTCACTAGGTTCCTTCACATTTAGTTGCTAGATAAAAAGTTGGAGTAAAAAATCCATTAAATCGGCAAAGTAAAAAATCCATTACACATCTTTAAAAATGTTAGAATTCATAGCTTTTAAATTCTTTCGGCTATACAAAGAAGTCCCTCACCAGGTGTAGAGGAGGGCTGATTGAAAAGAAAACTGCAATCAGTACTTAAAAAAGTTCATTATTGTTTCAAGTTTTGTACAAAAGAAACTCCCCTTCAATTATATTACCTCAATATTAACATAATATTCATAAACAAGTTCTTGGATTTTGTAACACAGTCAGCAAATGATACACTACAAAGTCCAAAATTCAGACCTCAAAGCCACAAACTTTTTTTTATTTTAATATGCTTTATGCAAGGGCATTTGATTTTTCCTTCCGTAATAAAACATGTGGAGATTTTTCACTTAAAAATTCCAATTCTTAATTTCACTTAGGCACCAAATAAAATACTTCATTATGGAAAACAATCCTGTAAGCATAAATTTGTGAGATTAATAATTTGGCTCACCAAAACGTTCACATATTTTATATCGCTGACGCCAACCTTTCAAGTCATTACACCGCAGGTTTATCAATACATTACAGCTTCAGTAATAAATCATGCAATGATGTCTAAATTTTTTTTATATTAGTAATTTAATAACAAGAGTATGGCAACCTTTTATGCTAACATTACGCTTGGCGATGATTATGGATTTTTAAATGCTCTAAGAAATGTTGACGAGGAAAAAATTCAACAAAAATTTCTTTTCATATACTAAAAATAGATTTTGTTAACGAAACTCATAGGCCAAAAGATTACATTTAGTGCTTTTTTAATTAAGAACAACTGATGTGTTATTCTCCATAAACTCAGAAGCGGCGGCAGAATATGTTGACACCGGACGGCAGAATTTAGGGTAGACGAAATTTTTGGAATTTGGGGAAGCATCAAGTGGCAAAATTAAGGGATGAGAAGTTTTATATGACTTATGGAAAGCACTGGGATGCAAAGTTTAGGTGTGGTGAAAATTTAGAATTTAGGAAGGCGCTTTGTAGCAGAATTTAGGACCTGTAGAGTACCAGGCAATATTTACTACTGGGCCTACATAAAGCGTTAAGTATATGTGAGAGTTTATTTATTCAAAACTCAGATTAGTTTTAAGCATGTGCAAGAAATAAACGTAGGTATAGTAAATAACTAAACTAATACAATTCAGGCTTAATTCAGTACGCAATAGGAGTAAGAAAAAATTTAGTGAAATAACTTGGCTTTTGTCAATAATCTTGTGATACACAGCCAATAATGTATAACTGATGCTATTAAGCTAGGCTAATATTATTTTTACTGATTCTAAGGCTTTTCAGTTAACGTAGCAGACTGCGCAGCTCCCTAATCTTCTAGTTTGATTCAGCTTATTATTTTTTGCAGACTGTTATTATTATGGCAATTTTATAAAAACTAAGCTTGAACTTTTGATTATGCCGAAAACAGTTTCCAATTCTGGAGCTGCCAAAGGATCTACAAAGCAAAACCATGTTTTGATGTCCATTAAACAAAAAGTGGAATTGCTGCAAAAAATGGATAAAGGCATATCCATCTCAAAATTATGGGAGGAGTCAACTTTATATGACATAAAAAAAAAAAAAAAAAAAAAAAAAAAAAAGAAAAAGGAACTTTTTGAATTTTTTGTGGAAGCAACTTAAACAGCTTACATTGAAAGAAACGTTTAATAAAGTAAACAAACAAATATTAAGCTTTTTTTTTTGTAAATTTTGATACCCTTTACATCATAATTGTTTTTTATTTCATAAATAATTAAGATTTCATATTTTTAATTGTATAATTTCTGCATGCCATCTTATCAGATTTAAATCGATGATCTAATATCTGGAAAAATCCCAAATCCGCAGCGCCGAAGTCCCAACGAGTCCGGATTTCAGAATTTGCACTGCATAAAGATAAGCACTATCATTAAAGATATTACCCCCCTCAGTTACAATACATCAGTACACAATAAATAGTAATCATAAAAATTTCAGAATTAAATTTTTATGAACGAACTTTTTATGTAATATTACAGATCTTTTATTTACTGAAACTGCCTTCTTTGTAAGTTTTATTCAGTCACTTTTCTTAAGTGATGAAACTTAATATCTAAAATTATTAAGACATTCTAAATATTTTATTACTATATAAAAAAGCTTGAATACTGAACATGAATACTGTTCACATGAGTACAACCCAGATTAAAACAGGAAATAATTTAATGGTTGTTTAAATTTCCAACATCTTTTGCTACGTGCACAGAAAACAGCATCTATCAATAAAACAATAAATTTTATATATATACGTTACTATATAATATTATATATGTTACCATATGCATAACAAAAATAAGCACACACAGAATATACATATGTATATTTACTTACCCTGAATGTTAATGTATTCAGAATGCTATGACTTTTTTGCTGATACAGATGATTGATGTTAATGGTTAATGTTAGTCACTAAAACTGATCTAATAGTTAGGCAAAAAAATTTTTTTTTTTTTTTTTTTTTTTGTAAAAAATTCTTGAGTCCCTGGGCCTTATTTTTCTAACACTTTCTTAATATTTAATTAATATTCCTTAATGTTAATAGACAATTTTACAACCAGATAGGCAATTTAATCAAAGTAATTCTCACTGAAAATCCACAACAGAAACCTTCCACATTTATTAAAAAAAGTGAAATATTTTTATAAAACCAATCAGGGGAAAAAATTACAAAATTTTTTTTATTTTGTTAGGAACTGGAATTCCTACATAAATTAAAAAGTTAAAAACTTTTCTTTTGTTCTGTTTCACTAAAAACAAAAAAAAAAAAAAAAAAAAAAAAAAAAAAAAATTTATACAACAAAATTATTTTTTTTCCATTACATGTACTAGTATTAAGTATTGCTTTTTTAAAAACAAAAACAAGGAACAAGGTTCAAATAAAAGAAAGAAAATAAAATTTTTTACAAACATAAAGTATCACATTAAGTACAAATGCAAGCCTGTACAAACTTGATACACAGCAGGGTTTTTTTCATATGAAAGAAATTATGTCGAACTAATACATTTATACACACAGAATAGAAAATATATTTTATCCAGTTAAAAAAATAAATAATAACGTAAAAAGAACTGATATATGCACAGTAATTATGTAAAAGGCAATATGTCCCCCCATCTAGCATTTGCAAAGAAAAATTCAAACACTGGTTTGAACTAATTAAAATTGTATCTTGTAAAATAAGTAGTACAGGCAGAACTTTTAAATTAACAATTATACATTCATGATTTCTTATGAAACTTAGATCTTGCAACTTACTAATCTTTCTGTTTCTTTTCGTGATAGCTTCCCTTTTTAATGACAAAAGCCAAGTTATAGTCATTATACAGAAAAATATTCTTTCTCTGAAAATTGGAATATACTCTTAGACATTTCAATTTTTTACAAAATTATAATAAATTTTCTTTTCAAAACTATACAATAATGCCTGCAGTTTAATTTCTTTTCATTTTTCTTGAAATAAGCTATAATAAATGCCTGACAGCAAGATAGGAGGAAAGGCAGGGCAATTTGATATTTAACAATATGCAGAATTAAACTTCAGACTGACAAAAATAACAGTTTTAGTATGAAACGAAAATTTTAAATTGAAATTCATACATTATTAAAGCTTGCGGTGATTCCAATCCCCCCCCCCCCAAATTAGAAATTTTATGGTTATTACACTCTTAATTTTGACTAAAAGAGAAGATACTGTTTTCTCATACTATAATAAATAAAATAGAAAAAAATATTCTCTTTTTGAATTACTACAAGTTAATTTTAAACTCTGGATAGAGACTAGAGATACTTTAGAATACTTAAGAGCTTAAAAGTATAATGCCATAAACACCTACAAAGATATGAATATAGTGAAAACATAATTTATACATGCCTTGCCTTTATTTACAAACTTTAAAGCATTTAAAAACGTTTATATTACATAAAAGTACTAAAATTTTAAAATACAATATGTGGGGCATTTAAAATATTAAATAGAACATAAAAAATCAAGATCCTAGATCTTCTGCTTTATATAAATAACTAAAAAAGTTTTTTTTTTTTGGGTTGACAATGGGCGGTTTTCACTCATATTGGAAAACCTGAAATTATTTCACGCATATGACACCTGTAGTTCTTCCAAGCCATATTTTCCATCTTTCCTTGCTCTAAACCTTGCAATATCTTTCCGGGTCACAATTCCAACAACCTAATGAAACAATATATTGATATTCAAAAACAAAAGCAATATATATAGTATATATATATATGTATGTATGCCTTCAGATATTAACTTGAAAATAATCATACTTGTTTTGCACTGATACTAAGAAGAATCATTTTTAGTAAAAACAACAATTTACACGAAAAGCAATGCAAATAAAAATTGCAATGCAAGAATTAGAAAAATTTTCCTTAGATAATCATGCACAAATATCTAATCTACTTTGAATATTCTGTAGCTAAAATACAGGAAAATAAATAATATACCTACTCTCCAATTTTATGTTATGGCATTTATAATTTTCAATGAACAGTTTGACATTTTATTATTCAAAATTTCTAGCATCTTCCTCAATATTAATGATACATACATTTGCAGTGATTACTTACTTTAATTCCTTTTCTTTTTTTTTAATATGTGAATGCATGAAATACAATGAACATACACATTGCGTCCACAAAAGTCTTTACCCGACCTTTGCTTTCACAACTGTTGATCATAGACATATACTTTCAATTACAAAATTGTTTTAAACATGCAGGTATTCATGTTTTGGCATTTTTAAATGAAAAAAAGAATCTATTTGTAAAAATTAGGAAATATAAAATTTTTTTATGGTCCCTTAGACTCAATACTTACATTTAGGAAAATATTATACTCCTTATAAAAGTAAAAACCAAAAAGTCTGGCTCCCATATGACAAAATTTGCATCAGATACTGCTTTATTTAAAAATTTGGGATATTTGACAATCATTTTCAATTAGCCTTGCAGAGTTGGGTAAGCAAAAATGTCAGAATTATTTCAGGTTGATTCTCCATCTCAAATGCCATTCAATGATATTCTTTCATGTTTTACTAGCATATGCCATTCTTTCATTAAAAATTTTGTGAGAACTTGTAACCCGAAGAATTTGTTCATAAGTAATTTCTAAGATTTCAAATGGGGAGGGGGGAGGTTAGTATTCTCTTAAAGTTTTATTAATTCATAATCATACAAAAAATTCATTTTTTATTTACGCATATAATGAAATATTCATTTTTTATTTACGCATATAATGCTATGAGTTGGCTATGTGCTTAACAAACTACATAGAAATTCTATGCAAAATTTATAAATATTAGAAATCATAATTTAAACTGTTATTTTATTTTCAATTATGTACAAACTAAACAACACTTTACTGAGCAGATGGTAGGTATCCATAGTTTTTGAGTTCTGTTGACAATGGGTTCAAAGATGCATAAGAATTATTATCACAGCTGTTTTGGAAGTCATCACAATAAAAATATAAATAAACATATTAGCATAAAGAAAGGGCTCTCTTTTGTTCAGAATGTTAATATACTGCAAGTTAGAGCTGAATTAGATCTATTAGTCCGTGGCACAGCATTTTAGAATATCTTCTTCAAACAGGGTTAAAAGTGTATACAGCTAGCAAGATTTTTATTTCTCACTTTATCACCATTGGAATTAATATGAATTATGTACCACCATGTAGAACATAGGAATGAATGGCAGAATGGGTCATTCTAAGACTAAATTATGATTTTTAAGCAGAAGGTTGAGAGGGGATAAAGTTGCATGAATTTGGGGCATACATGTGATGTCCAAAAAAACGCAAAATATTTTTAAATTGAGCATATCTTAAGAACTTCTGACACAGATTCTTGCACGCTGGAGATAAAAACGTCTTTTCTGTACAACAGTGTCATTGCTCGCTTTAAAATCCTTCAGTTTGTTAATCAAAAATTTGTTAAAGATTTACAAATATGAAATTGATAATAAAACAAATTCCAAAATTCAAATTTTGGCTTCACATGCCCATATTAGCAGCAGGATTATGCCATTCAAAATTCAGTGGCTCTATATACCGTTGTTTTATCACAATGCGAGAAATATACATACATTTAAGCTGATTTTGCATTATTTAATTTCTTCAAATATAATGCAGGACTCTAACATTTGGTGGCAACAGTTTGAAAAGTGAAACAAACATTTATAATGAACCAACGCAAAATTGCTAAACGAAAACAATAGTCCTTCAGGGACAAAGCCTCTTTGGACTTAAAAAAAAAAAAAAAAAAAAAAAAAAAAAAAAAAAAAATTTCCAACAACTTCAGGGTTGGCAAGTTTCTTCTGCAGCGGGAAAAAAATCAACTAGATGAAAAATAAATGCAAAATCCATCCCATATTCAATTTGGAACACACCATATGCAAAATAAACATATATATGTATATTAAAAAAAAGTTAAAACAGCATGATAGATGCAAAAAATACTGAAACCAAAAATGAAACGGAAAAAAGAAATTTACATCTTTCACTACATCATCAACATCAGAGAGCTGGTCTAATGAAAGAAGTAAATACATCAGCTGTTTCTGAACCAAAAGATATAAATTAAAGTTTAAGACTTAAAATAATCTCAGAAAATAAAGCAATCTGTGTTTCTATCAGTCTAACCCCTACAAGCCATAGTAAGTAGTGAAAAAATTGTAAAATTATAGGATCAAAATCTTTTATTTTTAACACACAGAGGCTATAAAACAAACCATGTAAATACAAGCTCTCCAGCTCCTGAAAAAATAACATAAAAAAATTTGGAACCACACAGGCCGTAGTAAGAAACTTTTTATTTTCTATTTACATGGGTCGAGTAAAAAAAAATATCATGTAAAAAGAAGCAAACCAACATATGAAAAAATAATAACAAATAAAAATTTGATATAAAAAACATAAAATGTAAAGATTAAAAATAAAAAAGAAGAAGTTCTTAAAATCTGCAACATTACAGTAACAAAAGTTTTGAAATCAAATAAAATATTAATTAGACATATCTAGTAACAAAAGACTTGTTAAGCATAACATGCTAAGTAATAAAGTTAGATTAACAAGAAATTTTAAACAGATTAACAATACCAAAAATAATTAGAGAACATTTCTAATGTAACATTAAAAATGATGCAGTAAAAATAAATAACTTGGGGGGGGGAGACACTGAATCACCTGGATTATAAAACAAAATTGATTTCCAAATGTTACCCACTAAAATATTAAGTTCAAATGAAGTTTTAGTTGGCTTCAGTTCAATGAATGGAAGAAGTTGCAGAGCTTAGAACAAAACAAAAAAAAGTTTTTTAAATCATACCGACTGAAAAAGTTGTAATGTTTAGTGTAAAACTATTTTCAAAGAAGTTACAATAAATTTTTTAAAATAAATTAACCAAAAGAAATTAAAAGTAATTGTAATGAAAAGAGAAGCATGCATGTTAAAATGTGATGAAGTAAACTGTGAGCAATCTTAATGCATACAAATGAGGACTTTAGCAAAAATGTTACAAATTATAAGAAACCCAAAAGAGGAATGCAGAAAATTTAAAAAAAAAAAAAAAAAAAAAAAAAAAAAAAAAAAATGTCATATGTTACAGAAGATAGAATTTACTCAAGAGCATACAAGTTTGTTAATAAAAGAGATTTTGATACTCTTTTTCTTTTTTCTTCTCTTTTTTTTTTTTTTTGCAGGATGCTTTATTTAATAGTCATTAGCCTTGTGTAACTACAATGTCTGGAAGTGGTGGCCATTTCATTATGGAAGCACCTAATAAGTGGACACCATTAATTCCTATGAAGGGGATGGACAGTTACAACCATGCCTTCTCCGGGATTTGAACCCGGGCTCATTGCTTCGGCAGTTAGGGAACTGTATTGAAAAAATTTAAGAATTAGTTTTCTTTCCAACTTTTTTTTTAATCATCTGAGAGCCAAGTTATTATTTACAAAACATTTGCTTCAAAATAGTGTACATATTGCAATGAACTTCCCAACTGCAATTTCGTGATTGCTTTGTGGATAACTGCGACACAGTGTGCAAATTGCTATGGACACACATAATAAGGTGTGCAAACTAGGTGTCAAAGACATGAAGTTATGATGTATCGAAGAGGACAAGTAGTATTTACGTTAGCAATGAAAAGTGTACTTCGAATTTATCAAAAGTTAACTTAGAATCCAGTTTATATGAGCATGGAATAGTCTAGACATCATATACTTTGGGCTATGGAACTATCAATTGCCTGAACTGATGTGACTGGCCTACTCTATGGATAACTGCAACAATAATATGGTCACACATCATTAGGTGTGTAACTGATAAGAACATGAAGTTATGACATATTGAAGAAGACATAGGTTTAAAAAGTGGTTAATATACAAGTTCCACTCTCCACAACCTAGATCCTTTCCATGACAATGCAATGATTAATTGATTGTATATTTATTTTTCATGCAGATTATTATGTAACAATTATTGTATAGATGACATTGTCAATTTAGCATTGTAGTATTACTATCATTGATTCAGTGAATGCCGCCGGCGGTGGATGGTAGATTGTTTTCCGTTGCATGGACATAACTCTGATTGGTGTAGAACCTTAGGTCGGAGGCCCATGCGACTGCATTTCGGTCACTATTCATTATGTGAACAACGAGTTTAACAAAAGTGTACTTTGAACTTATCAAAAGTTAACTTACAATCCAGTTTATATGATAATAGAATAGTCTACACAATATCATACACTTTGGGCTATTATATCAACTGTCTTAACTGATATGACTAGCCTAGTCTGTGGATAAATGCAACAATAGTACGGACACACATCATTAGGTGTGTAACTGATAAGAACATGAAGTTATGACGTATTGAAGTAGACACAGGTTTAGAGACTGATTAATATATATAATAGAAGTTACACTCTCCACAGCATAGATCCTATCCATGACAATGTGATGATTAATTGATTGTATATATTTTTTCTCTATGGACTATTATGTAACAATTATTGTAAAGATGACATTGTCAATTTAGCATTGTAATATTATTATCATTGATTCAATGAATGCCATCTGCGGTGGATGGTAGATTCTTTTTCTGTTGCATGGACATAACTCTGATTAGTGTAGAACTTTAGGTCGGAGGTCCATGCGAC